AGGATTTTTTATCAATTACAAGTATCAGATACTCCAGTTGGAACAACAGCATTAATGAGATCTTTTGGATGGGATTCATCAGATTGTTTTATGCCTCATGATGTACAGGAGTTTGATAGATTGCTACTAGATAATTTAGAGGGTAAAATGAAGGTGGGCTTATTATTTATTGAATTAAACCATATTTCAAGTCATTAAATTTTCTTATAATAAATCTATTAATACTTATATTTGGATTTAAGAATACTATTTCAAAACTATTTGTAGGAAAGATGAAGAGTTATGTTAGATGTATCAACGTAAATTATGAAAATTCGCGTATTGAAGATTACTATGGTACATAGTAGTGTATATATGGGCTATGTTCTGCAAAAAGGGGAATTGTCAAATTTTTTAAATTTAATTTTTTTACATGAATTAATTTAAAATAAGATCAGAATTATTTTTTACTTAAGACACAAAAGTAGTTGTGTTAATAAAATTTTACAGTATAGCTCTTCAAAATGTCTTATGATTTATTATAAAATTATAATATAAAAATCAAGACTTCCCCTTTTTTGCAGAACTTAGCCCGTATATATATATATATATATATATATATATATGTCTATAAAGTTTAAACTTAGTTTAAGTAACGCTTAACTTTATTATGATAGATATTCAACTCAATGTAAAAGGGTGCAAAACTTTAAATGATTCTTTCCTAGAACATATTCGTGAAGAATCTTGTGAAGGAAATAATAAATACCAAACTAAAACAAATGGTTTGCAAGTGAGTTATATTTTGGTCACAATATAGCTGAGAATTACATTAAATGCAAGGTTTTGACTTTATTGTCTATAGGATGCAAAGAAAGGAGTAATTTTTGAAAGTTTTCCGCCAGTACTACGAATACAATTAAAACGGTTTGAATATGATATGCAAAAAAATACTACAGTTAAGGTATCTATTATGACCTCTAGCCTTTAATTCAATAATTTGATGATTGAAAAATTATATAAGATACTAATACATACTGTACATAGATAAATGGCCGTTATGAATATCCTATGAAAATTGATTTACAAAGCTATTTATCATCAGATAGCGATAAATCATAATTATTTGCTTCATGGGTTTGTAAATGTGAATTCAGTATTTTCAATGATGTAATTTTTAAAACATATTATTAATAATTTTTCTTATTTATTTAGAGTAATTGTTCACAGTGGTGGCTTACATGGAGGCAGTTATTACGTTCTTTTAAAACCAGAAAAGAACAGCAAATGGTCAGAATTTTAGCAAATAAATTAAAATTAAAATCTTTAGATTGTAATAATAAGTTAAATAACCAAAGTTAATATCATAAAAGGTTCAAATTTGATGATTTTAGAGTTATACCTGTAACAGATAAAGAAGTACTTGAAGATAATTACGGGGGTAAAATAGCAATTGGAAAAAATCTTAACCGATTTGCAAGTGCAAATATATTAGTATATATCCGTGAATCTGATATCGATTTTGTACTATCTCCGGTACTTGATAAAGATATACCAGAACATTTGCGTAAGTGTACTAATTTATGAAGCGCTGTAGATTGAAACTGACTATGAACTTTCACATTCATGTTTAATAGGAAGACGCATAACTGAAGAGAAAGCTTTAGATGAACAGAGAAGAAAAGAAGCTGAAGAGCGTCATTTATATTTGTCTATTAAGGTAATTACGTACCGTGTTTCGAGTAAGAACGCGCAGGAGTGTAATTTCGAATTTTGGCCTAAACTAAGCTTAATAACGCACATGGGCGTTATTATGAGAAAATATTGTAACGACATTATGAGTAATAATAATAATTTTGGATTATTAAACTTTACCCTAACTCAATATTAGGTTGTGGTTCCGGCTACTTTTGAGCGTCATCAAGGATTTGATCTCGCTAATTTTGATGATCAGCAATATTCAATATCTGAAGTTCCACAATTTAAGGTTTTAAAAAGTGAAGCATACAGGACTTTAAAAACTATGGTTGCTCAAAAAATCGGGATTCCATCTGAGCAAACAAGGTTGTGGGTTTTGGTAAATCGGCCTAATAAAACTGTCAGGCCAGATGCTCCAATACCAGACCATTTTCTTGACATGAGTGAGTCATGTGTAAAATATAATTCTTTTCTCTTTTCATTTCATAATAAACTTTTATATTTTTATAACTTTGTAATGAATAGCAATGGAAAAAATTTACAAGAAAATGGCTTTGAATCAAAATGAACAAGAATTATTTTTAGAGGTGGCAGATAAACTAACCAACGACAAAGTAGTACCTACTATTCAATAATCTTTGAATACATATGATTAAACATGCATTTTCTTACTATTCCAACTGTTATTTATTTGATACGTAGGCATGGTTCCCGACAATAGAAGAAAATTCTCCTATAC